CTTTATTTCACAGGAGTGTAAAGCTAAGGTGGGAAGGCCACAGCAACAGAGATGGGCCCCACATGTACAGCTTCCTCCACTCACACAGAACCAACTGTGGGGCCTGCAGATCCAAACGCTGCCACCACCACAGCTCAGGATGCAGTTTCCCAAGCTGTCAGGAGGAAGAACACTCTGGTTTTAGTATGTGCACAACTGCCTGGTCAGCTTTAGCACAAAACTAACTTTACAAAAAGTACTTTCCAACCAGGTTAAGTGAGCTGATCCAGCTGACCTCAGGGGTTAGATACTACTGCTGCTGCTTGGGAGAGCAAGGGAAGGGGAAGGTTTTCTCCCTTGGCAGCAGAGAAGCGTGAGATTGGTAAAGGCCTTTCAGGGAGCTTCACTCTTGGTCTGCAAAGGTGTGGTACCCTGCTGACAGTCTGTTAAGATTTTAAGCCTTCACTTACCTACCTCTGGCAATAATTTGGAAATTTCCAGCCTTACACATGGCCTCAAAATCAGATTTGATGTTCTTAGAGGATAGTTTGCACCACATTTCCCAATGTCTGCAGAGAGCTGGTCACGCAGCACTAGCTCTTGTCAGCCAAGTTGCATTAGACAATCTAAAAATACATTAAATACTTTCTAATATTACTTTTTGACATAAGCAGTTACTGGAGCTGCCCAAGGATGTTGCAAGAAAAGGTAAGAGGTCACATAACTCCTTTTATTCAGCCGGGCTATGTGCAGTGAAAGGTCAAAAGGCCTTGATATATATTTGTTTCAATGTTTGCCTCAGCATTAATACTTCATTAAAAATATTAATAACTGCAAGATCTCAAATGAGCAGATAATCCTCTTTAACTCCAAGGAGGCAACTAATTTAGCATAGTTACAAAACCCATCTGCAATGCAAAGTTCAAGGAAACGCTGCCTAATATTTGACAATGACAGATACCAGGTTGCCAAGAAAAGAAACAGTGTCTGAGCAAGCTGTGGGTGTGCTGTTTAGTGAGAGGGTGTTCCCTAATACTGACAGCCCACCAGCTTTAATCATGTGGAAGTAAAGCAGCTTTTTTCTTTGCACAGAGGTAGTTCTCTTCTGTCAAGAAGCATCCAGGGTTTGTGTTCATTAATTTACAGAATGCCTGGTTACAGCACTCCTGAAATAAAAGCAAACCAAGGCACTGGGAAAGGTACAAGTGTGGGTTTTCCTGCCAGCTACACAGTGCCAGCCATAAATGACAGCCCAGCTCCCAATAACCCTTCTCTAGATACAAACCCAACCATACCAAGACCAGTGTTAAAATTAGCCTCTTCACTTGGCTCTGCTTGGCTGCCTGAAGCCTTGATTGACACTGTGGGCCCCAGTTTCTGAACAAATCCATTAAGCTCTTCAGCATCTGCAAACTGGTCTTTGACATGGGCAGGGGGCCATTAAAAAAAGAAAAAGCAATAAAAAGTATTACCTGGTGGGAAAGCCAAGAGCTCAATGTGAATAACCATTCCCTGGACTTCTGCTGTCACCTCTGTAACGCTGCTGTGGCTGTTAGTTGTGATGCGCTTCTGTTCTGCATCACTTCATTTGCTCGAGTACAAAACATGGATCATTTAATTAGTGTAAAATCGCCAAAAACAGTCTGTTCACTTTACTGAACAAACCAGCATTGTCTTTGAATAATAAAAAGAGGCTGATCTTCACTGCCAGTGGAAGAATTCACTTACCTCCACCTACAGGGCAGTTTGCTCAGCCCCTCTGTATAGCCCTCTGGAGCAGCAGTCCAATTCCAAGGAAACTCAAGAGGATCCTTCCTGGGACGTTCCTCAGTAGAAGCATGAATTCATCTCCTTACACTTAGCGCAGATTTACTGGGCTAACTTCCTCAGTTAACAGCAATATACTGGTCAATCAATACACTACTCTGTCATTAAATCATCTGCAAGACCTCCAGCAATCCTTTTGTGCACACCAAATCCAAAACACTGATTATGAAGATCCTGGCAGAAGGGAGTTCATAGCAACTCCTTGTTCCCATGAGAAGCTGACAAATACTAGCGACTTATCAACATCTTTCAGTATAACTTTGGCAGCAATTCTAAACTCATCCTTATCATTCTTGTGCATTCTTCAAATATTCCTACATAACAAAAGCTAAGAAAAACCTCTAAACAAACCCACACCTTTCTCCCCATCCTCAAGATCTGTATTGTATGTTAAATGTGGGGTTTGTATCAACTCCTTCCACCCTACCAACACTTTTAGCTGCAAGCTTACTTTTTTACTGAGTGCTGCATGAGAAATTCCCTTCCAGCACTCAGTACCAGGTCTCCAGCATCACTGACTAACATACATGAGCATTTTTTCTCCATACAGCAAATGCACCACAACTGCAGGGGTTTTTTACACACTTGGGAGAAGCCAACCAGACCCAGATTTCCCACCTATAAACCAGGGAACTAACACAAATCCACCAGCAGCCAGTGCAGGAAGACCAGCATTTGCCATCTTACACATTTGCCAAGTTCTCAATTCTTTGGTCTTCACTAATTCAGCTTCGATTCTCTTGCATACGATGCAAGAGATGTTTCAACTTACTTTCTGCTCTATCTTCCTATTCTCAAATCATAGCCAAGTTCTTGAGTATGTTAATCTTTACCAGGATCTTTTATATGTCAACAGTGTTTAAGTAGTGAGCAAGTGAGCTCAAGAGATTCTTAAGTCCAGTGTGGTTATCATGCTTCAAGCCAAGCAAAGAACATTTTAATGTTCACCTCTTGCAGGGAGTTTTTGTGTACCAATACTCCCCAGAACTACTTTCAGTAACTTTGCATTTCCATCAGTACGTACAAACACTGTTTGAATTACACCATGAATAAATACAAAGAGAAAGAGCTTTTCCCACAACAGCCTTGATGGGTTACTTTTAATTAAAATCAGTTTAACGATTGATAAGCTCTAGTATTTCCAGCAGCAAATCATAAGTGGTTGACTGTTTCCAGATACAGTGAAAAAACTGAAGATACTATAACTACATCAGCTAGCATATTTAGTTAGTTTACTGGTTGTCAAACATAGGAAAAAGTGAGGGTTTAACATGTAAATTGTCATGACCAAGAGCAAAACTTAAACGAGTATTTTGTAGGAATCGCAAGTTCAACTATATAAACTTACAAATCATTGTTTCCAAATGCTTACTCTCAATCTCTCACAGAATTACTTTTGACATACTTCCTCTATCAGATACCAATGAGCACGAATTTTCAGTGGCTAATTAGTATTCAGGGGAGGGGATGTCCTATACATGAACTCAGTACAGTTGCTACTTCGAAACGTTCTTTACGCATGCCCCTTAAGCAAATGGAAGAACACTGCAAATACCTGTTTCTCAGTATCCTTCATTTGCTTTCTGAGCTTGCAAAGGCAGCAAAACAGTTCAGCATGCCTGTGCACACATTAATGAAGACACCTCTTCCTTAAACACAGAACAAATGCATCTGCAGCCGATTTAAGATTAGACATACGACAAACCAAAGCATCATTCAACATGGCAGGGAAAATAGGAGAGTGGGTATATGGGAGTGTGACATCCTAAAGCTCTAACAGGATCCTCCCTGGCCCTGCATGTATCTTCCTCGCTCATGGTCAGCAAGGATGTTGTGCTGTTTGCAACAGTTGCCACATCTGCCTGTCATCCCTCAGGTACTACTGGTGGGAAGAGGAGACAACACACAAGAGGGAGCACTTCCTCTTTTGCACTGTTACTTTATTTTGTAGCAAGATCCATGTAGTATATAAAACAACAGGAAAACTGGAATAAAGCCTATAAAATAAACTGAGGAGTTCAGGTGATGAACCACTACAGCTCTGCTTTTGTGGGTTTCTGCTCATGTCACCAGAACTCATGTACTCTTTACCGTGTACATTTACAGCTCTTTAGCATATGAACCTAATTAAAAAGCTGATATGTTCCAATTAAGCCATAGTTAAGTGACAGATGCAGAGGAAAAAAAAACGGCTTTGTTAAGCCACAGCTGCCCTTGACACAGGTTACAATGATGTCTAACTACTGTAAAGCACATTACATCAAAAACCTTGAAGGAGCCTCCAAGAAAACAGGTTCACATTAAGCATTTTAAAGAAAGGTCATAAATACTGCACTGTAACAACAGTACCTCCTAATGTCCTCCTTATGCCTGAGGAGCTTTTCTGGTTTTTAAGAAGCTACTACAACGATGACACCAAACCTAGAGGTAGGTTATAGGCAAAGGTAAGTTACAGGCAAAAAAAAATCAATCCCTTTAGAGCCAGTCATTGCACAAACTGCCCAGCAGGAGGCAAGGCAAAATGTCAACAACTTCTTCCTCCCACCTTAAACACTGCTCACACGGTGGGTTTAATTCCTAGTGCCATCAGAATGACAATGGATCATCAGCTGCTAGTAAACGCGGTCATGCCAAGAGAACAGCTTGAAGTTACTCAAGCAAAAATCTGTTACTGTGCAAAACTGGTGCACTGGACTGTTACTGACTAGACCTCCAAGTTTAGGAAGTGACCTGATAGTAGACAACCAAGGTGTTTGTTTTCCTTTTGACATGGGGAATGCTCTACGTAACCAAGAGGAGAACACACTGCTAAGCCTACATGGAAGGAGTCAAACATCAGCTTGTCTCAAAAGGTTAAAGAGATGACAAAGAAAGAAAAAGTTTAGAAAGTTATATATATAAAAAAAAAAAAAAGCACACTTTTCCAAGACCAAGTTTTCTTGTTTAAGAAGTTATTGTACCAAACAAGCCAGTAAAACAGCTCGTCCTTGGTATCATCTGGGATCAACACAAGGTTGACAGCAAGTATCACGTGGACAGTGCAACAGGGATGAGAAACATCTGCAAGTACAATAGTTAACAGCAAATTAAACCCAACTTTTAATGGTGTGATGCCTTCAGGTCACAAAATGTGGACAAAATTTTCCATCTCAACTACCTTCCGTACACTATTCCATGATAATCAAAAGTAAAAATGCTGAAGGTCCATTTTATTTCTACTTGCAAAGGGAAAGGGGAAAAGGTTAAATAAGTGTTCTCCAATTTGTTCTCCACTATATGTACACCCACACACATACACACACGCACATGCACACACCCCTCAAACTGCACTGACGTTTCTTTTTGACCAAAAGAGTAGATCCTGGGAGTAAGTGCAAAATGCAAAATCAACTGACAGAAAATGCTGAACAAACAGCATCATAAAAATACAAAATATTTATATTACTGAACTATTAACAGATGATGTTCTCCGTCTCTTTAAAACTTTGGAACCACATAGCTGATTTCTTAAATCTAGTCCATGCCAGCTTCCAGAACTATGAATGTTTTAGTTAGCTTCATTCTTTGATGCTTCATCAAAATTTTCTACGAGATCTGAAAGAGATGAAGATACTCAGTGCAGTGATGCCCAATAACATTACCTGCATAAGTTTAAAGAAAATGCATACCTTACAGGAAAGGCTAAGTAGTTCTCAACTAATTAACACCATTTTATAATGGGCAGATTGCAAAGGGCTTTAGAAAATACAGTTTAACACTCACAAAGAAATAAAAATGCAAGAACACTCAGAAGAGGGGAAGTTCTAACATGAAGTGATAAAGACCTGATTTTCAGAGGTCTCTACTGGCTGCTGCCAGCAGAGTCCTGAGCCATCAGCACCTAAGTTAGGCACCTATTAACTGCTGTACTCCAAGAAGCAGAGAATTTGAGACAACTGAATTTATATGCAAGGCCACAAAGAAATAAGCCAGTGGCAGAGCATGAGTAATTGAACCTCTGGGCCCACCCACCCGTTGTTTTAGCTAATATACCATACTGATGGATACAGTACAATGTAGTGACTGACAGTTATTCACTGACAAACTCTATTTGGGTATTTAGATCACCTCTTTAACCTCACTGAAAGTATTTTAACCTATTTTCACTCAAGAATAAAACAATCAGCACAAGATAAACATTTTTTCAAAACCTGGAATCCAGAGTCATGTTTTAATGCTGCCCAGTGTATCAAGCCTCTCTTAGCAAGTGAGGAGTATCATCAAGAGCTGAATATTTAAATGCATGAATATTTATACATTAAACAGATATATAAAGGTGTATGTGCCTACCTGGGACATCATCATCTTCTTCATCAATATCTTCAGATTTTGGTGCTTTACTATCCAACACTATAAAAAGAAATTTGGTGCCGAGTTCTCATTACACAGAATTAGGGACAATCACACACCAATATAAAAACAAGAAAGCATTTTCCCAGCCCCTAATAGTGACAAACACACCAGTGATTGGGTTATCAACAGCAAACAGCATAACCAAAAGGTCTACTTGTGAACATTCTTATCCCACAGTACTAACAGAGCCATTTTCAAATGCTATTGGGGTATTAATGCAGGGCTAGCAAAAGATCAAATGACACAGAAAAAACACACATGACAACCTCTAACTGAAGTCATGTGTTTCAACACAACAATAAAGTGGTACCAGTCAGGGACCAACATATCATATGATTCAATTACCAAAGAGCTACAGCTGTAGGATAAAGTATTTCCCTATTGAGTGTTCTGCATCAAACCTGGTCTGTGCAAGTCACAGACATGCTATAAGTAATGCAGAGAAATGCAAGAACTTAAAAAGTAAGTACTACTTCTCACTGGTCTGACTTTCTGTACTAGCTTAAGCAAGCACAGTAAATAATCTATTGGTACCCAAGTTGTATCAAAGAAATACACTTATGAGGATCCATCTTTCTAAATTTTAAAAGGTACTTTGCATATCAGTAGAGAAGGAAAAAATAAACCCTTTACTTTCAATTCAACTCCGAATACAAAATATAGGAGTTAAAATTACTGATTTAGAAGGAATAACTCTTTGTTGAAAACACTAGAACAGGTCATGTATTTTCCAGTTCCATGTAAAGACAACTGCAACATGTCCAGTTTTTTTAATGGCCCTAACAGCCTAAAGTGGAACTATCCTCAGAGTCCATTTCTTAACTGTAAATTTACAGTAATAGTTACACCACATACAGAGATACACACCATGATCCCCAATGGTTTTAAAATGAATAGAACAAAGAATCAAATCTTTGATTTTTAATTAATTTTTTGTAAGTCTTGGTTTAATTCCAAATGGAATTACAGAGAAGATTAAGAATATTTCTTCCTCTATATCCACAGAGGAAACACGTTTTGTATGAACAAAGAAAACTGATTCAATCCCCTGACAAAAAGAACCTACTGAGTTTTTATGGAGTACAAACAGGAACTTGCTTTCCCAAATACTTTGTCATCCACAGTTGTACACTTGGAATCACAGCATGCCTGACAGAAAGTGTCCCCCCCTTCCTGTATTTCCAAAACAGTGGCAAATAAATAAAAGCATGTATGCTTTTGATCACTCCGTCACACATACTGCTGTTAAATTTGAGTTAAAACTTTTAATACTTCCTATGTTCTTTAAATTGGCAATGAAAGATTCCAAAGAGACCTACCTTGTCTTGGGAATTGTTCAGCTAACTTCCTGAGACTTGTTAAGCTGTCAGCACCAAGCTGGCTTAAGATGCCTGGAAGCATTTCTGTGATCGGTTTAGCCTCTGCATGCCCAGTGATTGCAAAAGTGTTAGCAGAGAGGGAAGCTTGAACCTTGGGGTTGTTGAAGTGAATAACTGTTCCATCATCTTTTATCATGTTCACCTGTTTGAATATATTAACAACATTCACCAAAAAGATGCAGCATCTTGTTGAACAAGCATGAGAAATGATTAATTCAAGACTAGATTTAATATTAAACTATATAAAAAATATTGCAGGACTAGCACTCCTCCTAGAGGATAATATGACCATGACAAAAGCATCTGGAGTTAACACCACTTAAACTGGAAGTAAAATATGAGTTAATGGTAAAATATGGGTTTGTACACATTACATTAAAAGGTAGACTTTAAAGAGCTGTGGTTCCTTCATAAAATACTTACCTAAATACCAAGTAACAAATAAGCAAGGACCGTATGTTATCACACAGTTCATTTTATATTTTAAACAAAGGCAAAAGCCATACATAAGTTATTAGTCTCTAAGCTATAAAGTTAGTATCAGGAATATCTAGAGAAAAAAAGACCCACAAAGCCCTCAGATCTTTGGTGACTCTTTGCAAACTAAAAGCTCTACCAGACCAGCCTTGTCACATCAGTTTAAGCCATCGCCATTCACAGCTATCTCTGACACCTATCAGGAAACATTATTGTCTCTGCAGCAGAATTGGCAAAGGCACAAGACTCACTCTCTGGCCTACTTGCTGAAGCTGCCCGAGGCAAAGATGCTTCCCCCATACACACACCGACCTAGAGGTTTATGTACCAACTGCACTAGAACAGGCTTCTGTGCCTGCCCAGTAATTCCAGGACAGCTGTTTCAAAACTAAGGACATTGTACAGTGATCCTCCTCTCTTCCTTTTCCCTAATGTTCTGAACCACCAGGAACTGAATTTCACAGCCAGTACAGCAGCCTGCTTTGCTCCTACTGTCAACGTTTATACTGCCATATTTGTATGGGCCTATGCTATGATTCTTTAACCTAAAGGAAGACAGAATGGGGAGTGGAAAAGGTTTTTCTTTCAGGCGTGGATAAAAAATGGTTATGTGGAAAATAACTGTCTGGAAAAAAGGAAGAGAGTTCAGCCCATCTAACCAAGCAGCAGTAATAAACTGATGTGACAAAGCTCTCAAGCATTGTTTTAAGTGGAAGTTAGAGGGAAAAAACACAGAAATTTGGGAACTAAAGAAGAGATCTAAAATATAAACCCATGTAAGTTGCCAATCTTCACACAGCAGCAGAGATCAAAATATGTTTTGAACAGGAAAACCAGCTGTTGCTTTCCTGCAAAACTAAAGGATGTCCTGTCCTTTGCACATAGGGAAAACAGTAAAGGCTTCAAGCATGGTCTTCCTCTTACTCTAAAACCTCTTAAAAACCACACAGATGTGTTACTAATGTTTGACTCAACATTACCAGCCTCCCCCAACTCTTCCACCTACACGAAGTATACCAAGGTGAACTTTTGTCCACCTGGATACAACATACTGCCATTATGTACCTAGCTATCAAGGCAGAAGGACATTGCATTACCTTCCTTCACTCAGAGACATTTAAAATGGTTAGTAACTGTGTCTGAATAAAGATCTTATCCTCTATGTGAAAAAAACCCCACCCAAACACACACACAGAGAAAAACTGTGTCTCTGGGTTTGTATAACTCAGCATATACAAATCAGACAGACAAACTGAAGTGTTTCTGTAGCAGATGTATGAAAACTTACAACCAAACCAGGCTTCTACACCAGATCTGTACTTGCCTTTGGAAGAGGTATGCACCAAGTGACCTCTGGGGGCACCGTGCAATCCTGCTTAAACTAATTAATCACAGATTAAATATTGTGCTGCTTTAAGCAAGTGCAATAGTAATACTGAGTTCATCCTGAAGGAACACCTCCTCCTCCCATGTATGGGCATCGCCATCACCAGGGCTATGGAAAATATCTGTGTTTCAGTTCATACGTTATATGTGTAAGATAGAGGTATTGGAGGAATATGTGAATCACCTCTATTTCTAATCATACTAATACAGAAGCAGCTGGTTCTGTAGAGTCTCTGCTGTGTTGTAAGAAACATCACCTCCTATGACAACAACAAATAATTCTGTCAATTTTCATGCAGTAAAAAGGCCTTATTTTGATAACACAGACTCACAAGTCCTTGCTCCAGGTATTTTCAAGCTTTTCTTTATATTCTGCACCACACAACTCTTGCTTTAAATGTGCCTGCACAGTACATGTGTGTTTACTGCTCTCTAGAGTAGATAATCACATTCATCAAGTGAAGAATCAAGAGAAACTTTGTTTTGCAATGAATGCAAGATGCATACATGACAAACAGCTTACTGGCTTCCAGACCTCCACCTGGCCAGCAGAACCTTACCCCTTCTTTCTCCAGGCATGTATCTCTTAATACGAATGAGACAACAGTCAATCAAATAACTTTACCTATCACCAACGAGATGTTTTGTGGGGAAGAGCAAAGTGTTGTTATAAAACACCACCAAAACAATAGAGTGAATTCAGTTTCAAACAGGAAACACTTATTATATCACTCTACCTCTTCGATGCCAGCAATATTATTTACTGCCAGTTTTTTGAGGGAACTCTGAAGTTTTTTGTCATCAGCTGTAGCTGTTCTGTGCACCACCTTCTTCTTTCTGCGAGCTGTACCCTGGAAAAGGAGAGACAGGTCAGCTACATTCAAACAAAATCGCACAACACTGATTTTAAAGCCATATCCCGCTCTGAGCAACAGATCTTTTAACTTATGGGAAAGCTCTGTAGTTGAAAACTCTTATTTACCTTCACCTACAGCTTTAGCTGTCAATCTTAAGGTTTCTCTCAAGTGCAAAAGACCAAAAAGACACCAAACCACTTCCTACAAACCAGATTAGAGAAACTATTTTTATTAAGCAATATGTATTAAGCAATTTATAAGAAAGAACTTTTCTTTTTTTCCCAAGATGAAGCACAAATACATTGGTTTAAAAAGGTGATGCTTTTGTAACCCAGTAATTGTTCCAGAGACAGCGACTGTGGAATGTCTACTCTGCAAACTTCCGTACAACCCCGCCTATGGTTAGGAGATGAACACCACACTGAACAAACTACATGCTTTTGTTTGTGTGTCATATTAGCTACCTGCTGGCTCAGAGAAAAGAAGAACCTCAGTGCAAAGTCAGATAAGCCCTGGAGCTGGCACAAAGGGAGGAACTCCCCAACAGAGAGAGGAGAATGGCAGAACTGGAACAACCAACAGGTAAGCTTAGCTTGAGCTTTCACAGGTCACAACAAGTCACTGAATTACAAAGCAAGCTTACATGCTGGAAACTACTCATCCAGCAGCTGTGAACTCAACGAAAATTGTATTTCAAGTAGCAGTACTGCGATCCAGATCACAGGAAAAACTGTGTTCCTCCCCTTCTATGAACTAAAGACTATATTTTGTAAAGCAGGTTTCAGAGATGTTTCTCCTTCAGCCTGTAACTTACAGGGAACAGTTCATCTCTGATGGTTTTCTTACCTTTCCTCCTATTCGGACCTGCGCTTGAAGCTTGGCCAGTTTTTCTTGGTTCATATTGTTGTAACTGAAAAAGGAAATAAAAGTTAACCACCAAAATAGTAAGAAAAAACACTCACAGTCCATTTTAAAAGCACTCAAGACTTGCAGTGGGGTTCTAAACTTAGAGAAGAATCACCAGAACACTGCATCAAACTAATACACAAAAAGCTTTAACGCCACACCACCTGAATAATACAAAGTGATCCACCAGCAGTAGGTTTAGCTGAAGTGTCTGTATCACAATGAGGCAAACCAGCAGCACGTTTCATTTTGCATCAGTCTGCAGTATGAGCTGTACGTTTCCAAGCCAGTTTACTGCTGGCACCATTTGAATGAACTACTGACTCAGAACAGACTCAAACGAGCACGTACAGCACAACCGCTCCTGAAACACCTTTAAGAGAGCACAGAGACTCATCACTATGCTACTTTGAATGGTATTTCCCAATAACGCATCTCTGACATTTTTAGGTAATAAGCCAGCTCGGAACAAAGAGCACAGCTTCACAGATCTCCTAAATGAACCTCTGGCTGCTATTCATCCAGTTCAGTGACTGGGAAGTTAGGCGACCAAGTGGCTTGTTCCTGGAGTCAGATAGGACCTTTAAAAGCTGGAAGGCCTGAAAATCCGTAACGGGTGAAAAAACACCTTAAACCTTCCAACGCAAGGAGGGCATTTCGCTGCTCTGCCCCAGTCAACCATCAGTGACCCCCTACATGAAGGGAAAACCTCTCTGCATGTGCATTGTGCGGGGCAGCGGTGGGGATGGCGCCCCAGCGAGGCCGCAGCACGGCCGATGGGAATCAGTACACGGATGGGACTCCGCCGGGGGAAGGGGCTCGGGCCGGCAGAGCAGCTCGCTGGCCGCCCCCAAAGCGCGGGGAGCGGAATCAGGGCCCCATCCCTCCGAACGAGGG